ACACTGAGGTGTCTCTCTTTCTAAAAACAGTTTGACTTTTAAAAGAGAGGAAAAGAAAGCACAATTTTAGGTTATTAAAGGAAATCATCAGTCACCCTATTTAAAAGCTATTTACACCTCGACTGAGCACAAGAGTCCTGCTGTAGCAAAGTTAATTGAGTTGTGCCCCCTTAAATTACCCTTGTACACTTTTCCAGTAGCTACCTGAGCTTGTATTGATCACTCAGGGCAAGGGCAGACAAATCCAAATTTACCATGTGAAATACTAGTCTGTTTACAAGTTCTTTTCACAGTGAAGCAGTCGTTGGCAATTGAACTGTGCTCTTATAGATGGGATGTAAAAATATCTATTAGGAAAAATCACATAAGTGGAACAAAATCTAGTTAGAATCTAAGACATAAAATATTGCAGCAGCTAAAATAGAAAATAAAATATGCAGCTTATAAATGTTAGTAATAAATATATTTACTGGGATATGTATAGATATAAATAGGTAGCCATAAATATATATGCTGAACCAATTAATGAATTAAATGTTTTAAATATCAATGTCGACTCTAAACTGTAAGTAAGCAGATGCAGCCAGTGCAGTAGAATGGGTTTGTACAGTACATACGTATAATATTAGTATGGCAGTAGAATAAAGTAAAGTAGTATAAAGTGACAAATGTGTATTAGTGCAGTGTGAGTAAATTGTCAAAGAGAGAAGAGTGGAGGCTGTTTAGAGATGTTCATCCATCACACTGCAATGTTCAGCTGTCCACATACTTTTGGCCATGCTGTGGAAAATGACCTGCTGGGTTTGAGATACTTATGGCTTCAATATTTTGTCTTTATCGAATTTAACAAAGTGACTAAAATGTAATGCAAATGTAATCCCTGCACGAGCACTAAAATGTTTAAACAATGTTGAGATACATTTGTTAGTTCTGTAAAACTGCAGGGTGTTTTTTTTCTCTTTCGTTTACATGTCAGGTCCAACGTCAAAATGTTTGACTGCATTTATACAGACTTTAAACCTGCCGCAGTTATAGTCAAACTGCATCTGAGATGCACTTGAAGGTCTGGACTTGTGTTTGAGGCAGAAATAACAAATGCTGATGAAATTAGAGAAGTCAGTGCACTTAGTAGTACTGCTTCTATAAGTCTATTGAAGCTTCAGCTGGAGAAAAACATATGAATCAAGATATAAAAGCATCCAAAGAGTGTTGTCAAAATACAACAAACTACACATATTAGTAGCATGAGGGAGTTGTTTCTCCAGCGAGAAGTTAAAACTTAAGGCTTACAAATTTCTTTCTTCCAATTTTTCCTCAATTATACACAATTTTACTGCTTGAGAAATCACAGATGAGAAGTGCAGTGTGTAATTTAAGTGTATTTAGGAGGATCTATTGTTTATTAGTATAATCTACAGCGGGTCCTCTTCTAGGAAGGCTGCCATGTTGAACTGCCATATATCTACAGTAGCTCAGAACAGACAAAGCTAACACTGGCTGTAGATGGAGCCTTTCACGTTTTTGGGGCCACCGTTTCTCCTTCGCACTTGGTAGCCTGAGCTGAATTCAAAGGGTTGAAATCTGAACTTTACCCCAAGATCCCGCTAAATCTTACACACTGGTCCATTAAAGTTACATTAGAGAGCATATGTCAAGGCGAATCATGAAGGTTGCGTATAAACTACATGAATCCAAAGCTCTACAGAGCAAAAAGAGCACTGAAAATTGGAGAGAAGCAAAGATCCACCTGTGTGTTTTAGGACTTCTGAAGCGTGCTGTATCTGTGGTTCACCAGTGTGTGTCTTCCTCTTGCAGGTGAGTCAGTACACGTTTGCCATGTGCAGCTACAGAGAGAAGAAGGCAGAGCCTCAGGAGCTGATGCAGCTGGAGGGCTACACAGTGGACTACTGCGACCCACAGCCAGGTAGAGGCACCTGAGCTGTCCCATTGACATCATCACACAGGGCTTTAAACTGCAACTACATACAGGACACAGAAAACACACATCCTTCCTCACACACTGCTGGAGGAAAGGATTATATAGACCAAAAAGTATTCATTTGTTAAATCTGTTGTGCAGCATTCAGAACATACGTTAGTGGAATTTCTAAGAAATTCAGATGAGTGTGACCTTTAAAATCTGTACTGTTTCTGGTAATATAATGCTGCTATACGGTGAGGTACCACACCGAACAAGGTCCTCACGGATAAAAAGTTATCAGGCTTCGTTGGCTAAATCCAAACCTCCAGACTTCCCCACACGTGCAGGCATGTTCCTGGGATGTCAAAATCCACAATCGATCAAGCCTGCAACGGGCCTCAAGTGGACTTTCTACTGTAGAAACATGCCGGTTCAACATGGCGGCCTCTGGGGGACCTGCTCCCTCTGTAGATAAAAGTGGCTCATTCTAGAGGAAACACTGTGTAAAAATTCCATGTTTATGTTAATTTGTTTAGATACAGTAAACACAGTCACATACAAACAATAAACACACATCACAAATTGTCCGACATGGTGATTTGTGCTCTTTGTTCATTATATTGATTACATTTGGCACAAAGCCTTCTACTTTTTACTTACTTTCTCCCGCTTCCTCTGCAGGTCTTCAGGGCGGCCGGGTGTTTTTTAATGCGGTGAAGGAGGGCGACCTGGTGATGTTTGCCTGTGACGACGAGCAGGACCGGATGCTGTGGGTCCAGGCCATGTACCGAGCCACTGGACAGTCCTACAAACCAATCCCACCGACGCAGAACAAAACCACAAACTGCAGAGGAGGAATCCAGAAACCAGCATCCCCCATTAGTAGGTTCTGATTCTCCCTGGGTCTCGCTTATTTAAAAAGTGAAACTAACAGTAAGAAGCAGGAAAACTTTAGAAATGAACAAAATTCATTCATTCATTCATAGATTCACATTTAAATGAGGTAGAAGGAGTAGATGCCTTTTAAAGATTTTAATGTGGAAATGCTTAACCTTACTATACTTTTTATACTTTCACACATTATTGTTCCAAGCACACATATGTCTTATTACATGTCTGGAGGAGGTCTTTGAACTCAGAGATGAAGACAAAGAATGTGTTGTGTTTTATTACTTCAGAATTGCAGCAACACTGTAAAACACTTCTTTAGTATCTCTTCTTCTTTTGTTTGACTTCTCTCCCTTTCTACCTTTACTTCCTCTTCTTTCCATCTGCCTTCTCTCCCTCACCATCTTCACAACAGTGTTTTAATGCTGAATTGTGAAACACACACACACACAGTAGGAGATAGATGGAAACAGTGCAGGTTGCACTGCTGTGAGAGAGAAAAACATATAAGGGCAGAAACAAAAGAAAGAGATAGGAGAGGACAAAAACTGAAAGACACACACACCATGCATCCATTTTTCTTGCCTTTTTCTCATTTTCCCTTCATGCATCAATCCTTTCTGTATTTCCTCCCACCTTTAGTTCCTTGATCTTTCCCTTTTTACACTTGTCCCTTCTTTTCATCATCTGTCTTCTTTCCCTCCCTTCTCTGTCTTATTCACCATTCTTTCCCTCCCTTCTTATTCTTCTCTCCTTCCCTTATTTCTTCTGATATTCCTTCTATTCTCCCCTTTTTTGGTTATTTCCTTATTCTTCCTTTCTTACCCTCTTTCTTTACTTCTCCCTTTCACTCTTTCCTCCCTTCTCATTTAGCTTAAAAGAGCCCTATGGAGTTTTCTTGGAAACAAAGTTAAACAGGTTCCACATTGTGTATCTTTGAGTTCTGACAAGTGTGTTGGATGAATTTCCTTTTTATAAAACATTTTTAATGCCCATATGAAAAATATGCCAATCCTACATCGTTTACATCCATGTTTTCTGCTAGTAGTCTTCTTCTTCACTGCCTCAGTTGGCACATTGCTACTACGTTTGTTTGCTC